GAAAAACTGTCATGGCTTAAAGAAGGAGAAAGATGTTTTTCGGTATTGTCACGAAGTTAGGATTAAAAAAGATTCTGAATTCCACTCCGATGATTTAAAAGTAGTTTGTAATTCTTTTTAACTGGTCACCGATTGATACCGGTCGATCTATATCTTGATCGACTGACCGGTTTCTTACCAGGATAAATAAAGTTATTATTATTATTATTATCATTAAGTATATCAAGGATTCTTTTACAGTGTAGAGCTTTGTAACACAATTATTTTCATTTGCATAAAGGAGTGTCGCTCGAAGGAACTTACAGTAAATTGGCCGGATCGAAGTAATATTGCTAAAAAGGAAGTTGTTTGAGTGTTTATTTCCAGGTAATTATTATTTACCTTGAAGCTTTAGCTTCTCTAGGGAAAGTGCATGAAGTGTTAATCTCTTTTGGTTTGGCCTCGAATCTAACTTCTTCCTCTTTTGAAAGAAAATGAGAGTATTTAAATCTGATGGCAGGCAAAAAAGTAATCTTGGGAATATGAAATCATGACACCTTTTCCAAAGATTCAGTATTATTTATGTTTGTACATATGTTTTTACATATGTTTCTGATATGTTAAGGAAAAATAATAATGCTCAGGTTGAGAAACTCGGTATATGAAAATCCTCAGCATCTAATCGTCAAACAAACTAACTCAATTATTTTTTACCCTATATTCTCCCCCAAAATCAGTTAACTCTTTGGGGATGATTCTGAGTAAGAAACGTGCTGCTCATCTTTAAGAAAATTTCTTTTATGCAGCGAATATTCAGCCTTGAGAGCTAGTTGCTGGATAAAGATTTTATTTCACACCATAAAAACTGAATGCCTTACACAGAACTATATTTCAGACAATATTTCACTGGCTGATCCTAAGGCATTTAGTTCCCATTTGCAGTAACGGTAAGGTCTTTTCACCTGCAGAAGACACATAACAATAAATAACAAGATTGATGGATTTTTTCAATTTATTTCGAGTGCCGATTTCAAAATTGGCACCCGGAAAATTCTGTAATACCAGTGGAAGTAATATGTATACATAGCCCTACATTGATCTTGCAGCTTCAAGCAAAAGCTTTCGAAAGGCACAAGATGAACTTAAAAGGAAGAAGTACCTTCGCCTTCATAACAACAGTTGTGTTGATCTGGAAAGTTGACTCGTAAGGACTGGAAACTGCATCACTACCAAGGCTATCAGGTCTTTTCCATCCTCCGCTGACCATTTCCGTCCGAAACCAAAACGAAAGGGGAATTTTAAGTGACTTCTTAATCCACATTATTCGCAAATGCTTTATTCCAGAGCGCCCAACAACCGCTTGATCCATTGATATCACGATGTTTAACTCTACAGCGGATTTTATAGAAAATATGAAGGAGAATAACTCGGATATTGCATTTCCAATCACGCGTCCTTTAAAGATGTTTTTGACTGGTGAAAACTACAACGGGTCACGTTTAATGTTTAAGGAGCTCATTAAAACTTCAGGGTATTCTCTGATCATGAACGTGAAAAATTTCAACAGAAAAGCCAATTCAATCATCTTCAACACACTGGGTGAGACGATCTGGCCTATTGTCATCCTCACACTTCTTATAGCTGGCATCTCAGGAATATGTGTATGGGCTTTGGTAAGGTTACTAATAATATTTATTACACGACTCGGGAAGTCAGAGGGCCAATAACTAAAATCAACCAATCAAAATGCTCTATTGCCGGTCAATATTCTCTCAGTATTGGACCGGGCACTGTCCCGAATGGTCCCGAATGATACCGCTCTTGTGTCCCTTTGAACTTCAGTCGTATAGAAATCTCTTATTAACCAAGCTTGCTCGGGACCGTATTGGAAGAATATCAGCCCTCGGTCTTTTTTGTACGGACCTCGCTGCGCTCCGTCCATACTGTCAAGACCTCGGGCCGATATTCTCCCAGTACGACTCTCGCGCTTGGTTAATAAGATATATTTATTTAGTTATTTCGTACCAGGCGGCTGGCAGATCGGTTTTTAAGTGCACAGCTGAGATATCATCCGAGAAATGAATATTTGGCTGGGAAGCAAAGTTTCAAGAGCAGATGTGAAATTTTAAATTTCCTCAGCCGAGGAAGTTATCAGCCGACACACTAGCGAAAAGGCTAGAGATTTAGGCTCTGTAAAGTGGCTCCTTCAAATAAGCTGCTTTGTAGCCCTAAATGGCCAACATTTGGCCAAGCTTAATACACCACAGTTTCCAAGTTAAAACAAAGATAATTTATGTAAATCTCCTTTAGGGTGTTTTTAATAATTAGAAAGGTTCTTAACCAATTGCAAGGGTACGAATCTATTTGATACGAAAAACTAAGAGAATTAACCAGCAGTATAATAATATAGATAATTTTTACTGTTTCAGGAAACTTATTTCAACGAAGAAGAATTTCCCCGATCTTTCACGAAGGGGGTGTACGAGGGATTTTGGTGGGCCTTCGTCTCCATGACGACCGTAGGGTAAGACGTTTACAACTTTTAAAATGATGAACGGAGTGGAGGAGGGTACGAGAAGACCTCTTGAACTAGCAAAGTACAGGCCAAGCTAACGCTTGATTTATGTATTGACGAAAGAGAGCTGGGTCGAGACGTGAAAGCAGCCGTCTCGCCCTAATCTCTTCCTGCGACATTTTTTTCCACCAAATGCTCGCTGAAGAGGGAAAGAGAAACAAACTGCTTGAAGTCCAGGAAGTAAGGTAATAAGGTATATATTACTATGTTCAGCACAGTCTAAATTTGGATATAATAACTATAATTCATTGGTCCTATCACAGCTATGGAGACAAGACCCCTAAGTTTGTTTTGGGTCGTATATTTGGCGTGTTTTGGATCTTCCTTGGCTTAGTTGTCATAGCGATGTTCACGGCTACAGCTACAAGCGCTCTTACTATCGATGCCGAGGCCTTGGCGCGGGTCGCAGGAAACAGGGTAAACCAAAACACGTTTTATACTTGTAAAAATATGTACATGAAACAGGTTCAATTATTTTGCATGCAATAATACGATTGACCAGATCGTAATTGGTTTGATCTTGCATCTGCTTCGCTGACAGGATGCTAGTGTGAGTTTTGATAGTCATATACAATATTGAAGCGTTTGAATTTTATTGAACTGTAGGAAGTAGAAGTTTTTCGTGCCGACGAAATTTACCTTGCACCTGCGACGTGACTTCATCGTCTCGACTGACCGTCAATAGATTGTGATCGTGTTAGGCCTCTATCGAGACTCTATCCGCTTTATGTCGCGACAGCGGTCAGTAGGCGAACCTCTCCGAATACAACGCACCTTCTCATTCTCCTCTGATACTCACTTGTGCAGTTTGGTCTAGTAGATGAAATTTTAACAGAAGTGTGACGTCATCGCACGTATTGAGGATTAATCATCTCGATCGGAGTTCTACGGCACTGTAATTTACGATTAATTCAGATAGAAGATGAGCCATATACAAATTATTTTGCTCCTTGCGGCTGAACGAGACATTTGAGCGATCGAACTTTGATTTATGAAGAAATAAAAACAGCGAAGTAGATAAAGGTAAGTTATAAAACATGTGTTATCAACGTATTTCATTATTCTCAGATCGGTGTAATGCGGAATACGACAGCGATGGTAGACGCAAATAAACTAGGAGCCAAGGAAGTGAAAGGTGAGTCGGCAGGCCGGGCTATTTTTGTCTCAATGTATTACATATAATATCATAAGTTTTAAAAACCATTTCAGCAAAAATCGAGAGGCGTCTCTCTTTGAGTACAAAGCGCAATTTAAAAATGAAAACAACAAACACACAAAAAGACAAAAACTGCATGAGAAGCATGGTGAGTATCAGGTCATCAAGAGAGTTTAGGAATCTAAATGAGAAAAACTGATGAGTCTCCAATAAACACGCAAAATACGATCTACCGTCTGGGTAAAAAATAATTCTAAAAATGAAAGTGACGAACGTTTCGTCAAACTGAGCGGAAGTCATCATCAGATTCAGGTTAGGATCTGTTTGTCATTCAAGTGCCGCTTCTGGTTCATGAAATTGATCACAAGGTCATTGAGTTTAGCTAAACTCAATACGTTTTCATAAATATCTTCATGTTCCGTTTAAATCGCAATTAGATTAAGATTAAAAATGTTTTTAGTTAGAGCTCGAATTATCAGGGAAAGTTTGAGCCAAGAGAGTTGAAAGTAGTTCGGGTCAACCGAGTTCAATGAACTGATAGTGATTGGCTGAAAATATTGGGTCAAACAGGGAACTCACACTTTGTTCGAGTTGACGGGATTCTACTGTAGAACTCTCATTCGGAAGATCACAACAGAGATGATCACCACAAGACACGTTTGGTACATTTCATGTTTTTATAAAACGAATTCCGTTTTCAGAGTTTTCATCAAAAGAAGCCATGCAGCATGCCCTTCGGGTAGATGAAATAGATGGCATTTTGATGGACAAGTACATGGCTTCCTACATGGTCTACAAAATGAATGACTCAGATTTCAAAGTATTTACTGAATACAGAGCGGAAATTCCTTATGAGCTAGCGCATCGTAATACCCAGTTCCTCAACAATAAATTTAAAGATGACGGTTGCGCTGGTGTTCTCCTCAGTAAAAGCGATGTGGACGGCCTCCTTATCAAGTACCTAAAGCCAGTTGAGGTAGGTAATAATTTAACCTATTTTTATGGTGGTTTAAGGCTCGCCCAATTCCAGTGCGACATTCAAGGCAAGAAGAAAATGATTAGTATGTGAATCAATTTCCAAATCAAAATAGGTAAAGGTGGAATAGGCAAAAGAGCTAACTGGCTCGACTGGCCGGACCCTAATCGAGTTTTAAGGAGCGTGAAGTGACAAGTTAAGTTAAACCAGTTGAATTACCTCCCTTCGATGGTATTTTAGCCCATCTTGAATAATTTGGATATATCAACAAAGTTGAAGTGGTAAATTGGCCACCGTAACGATTACAAAAGCTGACGTTTCGAGCGTTAGCCCTTTCGTCGGAGCGAATAGAGGAATTGTTGAAATAGCTACGCATATTTTGAAATACCTAAGCATATTTGAAATAGCTACGCATATTTTTTCCAGGCTTACAACGCCGATAGTGACTCCATTAGTTTATTCTCTGGCAAGAATCAGTTCACGCGCGAGGTCCTGCTAATCATCATGGGCGTGTTCCTTGGTCTTTTAGCCGTCGGGCTTGTGGCAGAAGTTGTGATCAGGGCCATCAAGCGAAGTAATAAAAAAGTGAAGAACTTTGCAGGTACTCGCTGAAATTAGATGGAGAAACTTTTTTTGGTACATAGTTCAATACCTGTTTTTCAACAAGTCGACGAACTTCCTTTACATACATACACGCGTACATAAATACACATATATGAATGAATTTGAGAGTAGCTTCATGAAATTAGCTAATATCCTCGAGGAATAAAAACGTTAACAAAAACAAAACAATGCCAAATAGGGTAGGCTTTGTAGTCTTTCTTACAATCAGAAAAAGTATTAGTCCTTGCTCCATCAGGAAGAGCATTCCATTGCTGAGCGTAAAAATATGAGAGGGAACGTAGTCGGCAGGAAAGTAGTGGTTTTAACCTTTCTAAGAGACAACATGTGGCTGCTACGTAAGTTATAGTGACACGAGGTTGAAACAAATCTTCTCTATGGTCTACTTGTGCTGATCAGGAGTGATCATTAAATTCAACAGATCTTAACAGTTATCCTATTTATCACGGAGGAAAGCTCCACTTAATGTTTTTATGTATTTGAGGTACGATGTGATCCGATCTTTTGGTCTCAGCCAATGGTCTAGCATAATAAGAGAAACTGAATTTACTTTGACCCATTCAAATCTTTTCTTTCCCCAGACGAAATCGACTTGAAAGAAGTAAAAGTACATAATTCCAAAGGACACCTTAAAGATATTGAAGACAAAGTGAGTCAATTGGTGAACGAAGTCGGTAAACTGCAAGAGCAGCTGGCAGCTATGACTTCTTCAGTAAACGATACTTTAGGGGGACGAGACACTTCCCACTTTTAGGACGAGAACAATGGAGGCTGAATTCCCAGACAACATCGTCACTATGCTTCACTGACCAAGATAGCGACGTTGAAATTGAGTTTTCTTTATCCAGTACAGCACCTCCAGCAACCTAACCAATGACTCGCAAGACTGTTTTTATATCTCTCGCAAGTAAGACATAATTCGCATAAAGTGAAAAAAATGTTCATCGTTGGAAATTTGTAAGTGTAAGAGTATAGCATTAATCAAGGTAAAGGGGAAGGTCTTATTTGATGATACAAATTTCCCTTGGCTTAAACACCAATGCATCTGTTAACCTTCTTCGAAGAGACATCTCTAGCTATCCCCATAGGATCCAGCTCTTGATGTCCTTGCGACAAAAGTTGCACCACACTATCATCTATGTACGGAATGGATACGCAGGAAATTAGATTCAGAGGAACTCCCCGAAAAAAGGAAAACATCCCTTATCGCAAAGGAATCCAAAAGAAAGGCGTTTGTATCAAGTGCTCACCGCGAATAATGTAACTACAATGACATTTGTTGCTTCTGTTCTCTATAACGGGGAGAAAACTCGAACATACATTTTTTTGCACCTTTTCCTTAAACAAATGTATGTTACTTATTTTCCATAGGATCAACCCTTTTTGCTTGGGAGACCAACGCGTGTGTATGAGTGTAAATGGGATTTTCTGTAGTTCATTAGTAAATTTCGTTGAGATAAAAGGGAATTGAGTCTGTTTCTAGACCAGTACGAATCCAGACACAGAGCAGTGAGGACATACTGGTCCTTGATGAAAAAAAGAAAAAAAGGAAACCCTTTCTGTCTTAATGTTTCCGACTTCGCCTCAAGCTTCCCATAGAAATAGTCTTGTCTGGACGACAACATTTGCTTAGTCCTTAGGACGTGAAAAGGTCTTAATATTTAAGTTAATGCTTTGTAAAAGTAGCCTAGTAAAATGTCCAAACTTTATGAAAATTAAAGGCTATGAACTACGTGAAAATAAATGCCTATATGCCAATATTTTGGTACGAAATCGGTGTTCCAGCAGAGCTGAGAACGGGTAAGGAGAAACTCTGAATCGGAAGCGACGGGGATGGATCACTGGCCGGACAAATATCTCAAATCATTTAGTTCTATTTTTCATTGTACTTATTGTAATTTCGTGAACTTTCTATTGGAAATCCTTCATCAATAGGGGGCTACTAGCCTGTCAAAATGTTGAATTCGCGATGAGACTTTGAGCGCGATGCTCATCAAGTTTGCTTGGAAATTGCGAATGCATCTAATGAGTCTTTTGGCCGAGACGAAACAAAACGCCGTATTGTGTTTAATTTTGTCCCGCCCAACATTTTTCCCTCCGCTACTGGGTTAGATATGCATATTATGGTCTATTATGGCTCGTGAATGAGCAAAGTTTGTGTTTTCGCGGATCACGTTTTGTCCCAGGCTTACAAATCTCGTAAGTAGTATTTCGTTTCGTTTCGTTTATTGAATTTTATTGTTTTCTTTCAGTCAAACCACATTGTACGAGTCATACTAAAGAGATAAGATAGTCGAACATTTAACTTTAGGCCGACTCCGAGTAAGATCACGCCTTGACCACGCCTTGTCGCTTTATGGCTCCATTTCAATATCTTTTCAATAACTTATTGTGCCTTATTTCGTCCACACAGAGCTATACATGCTATTTATCAAGTGGAAAGTTCCAATTTCTGAAAAATTAAGCCTGAAGTCGTCTTGTGTTCTATTTGCAACATGAAACCAAGAGGCAGAAAATACCACAACAATCTTGTTACTTGTTCCCTGTAAACGCTGATGCATAGATCTTTTATAGCCTGAACTTCAAAAATTTTGCAAAAAATCAGTTTGTATTGTTGTGTTTGTTTGTTTGTTTCCTTGTTGTCGTTGATGTTATACTTCTTATTGTTCTTGTATTCTTTTGTTTTTTAATGTTTGAAGACCCCTTGATGTTATTTTAGGAATGAAGTACTTTGAAAAGCGGTCCTTCCAAGTTCGCCATCACCGGTACTCAACCAAGCTTGTGCCGTCTTAACTTGTTTTATTCTCACCGTTTTTCTTCCAGAAAGCTATCTTATGGCTACTTTCCCTTTACTTAAAGTGCTACTGCGACGAAATTTTTGCATTTTATTTTCCAAATTTTCTGGTGTTAACTTCACATTTAGACCCTAAACTATAAGAATAAACGTAATTTTTTCAAATTCGACAACGTTATTCCTTAAAAACAGCGCCGCGAAGACATTAAAAATTCTTCCGCCATTGCTCGAATAACACACTGGAGAGCCCGCGAAAATAGCTACAGCGGTTTTAGTTGTGACGTCATCGACTCACTTCGCCACGCGAACAACAACAAAACAACAGATGGAAATACGCAGTATTCAGCATGTCTTCACGCTCAAATTCCCCTTCTGTTTCTTCCGACGACGATTCGGAGTTAATGAAAATTCTCCTTCACTGAAGATCCATCAGACGATAATGGCAAAGGATATCTTTACGATGACAGTTTAGAGCCAGTTGCGACCAAAGAAGAGGTCGCAGCGTACAAAGAGAGTTTTTCACGGTTTGAAGAGGAACAACAGGAATACTGACGCCGTTTCACTGGTGAAACAAGTGTTAGTACATGTTATACATTACTCTTACAGCTGTACATTTACTTTCCTCCTGCTCGTATCTCATTTATTTTCGTGCTTTGTACTCGTAAGACTTCTTATCGTGTTTTCAGCTGGATGACATGTCTTGTACTTCTCCAAGGTAACTTACTATTTGAATGTAAAATAATACGAGAAGCTCATCGAACAGTTGTTGTGCTTGATAAGTGTAAATGTTCTTTCTGTTCTCTGGAGGCCATAAATAAGCCAGAGGAATTCATTTGCTGCAAAGAAATCGATCGCGTCGGTGAGGTGATGGACCAATTGGACCTAGAGGATCGATGTATTACCCTCCATCCCGGTTTCCGAGATGTGTGCCTAAACCGGTGGGTTCTCGAGGTTACTTCTTTGAAGCTCAAAACGAAAGCGGGTAAATCATACCGTGTACTTCGCGGTCAAGGAGGCAGGAATGAAGCAGAGTAACTTTTTGATTTTGATTAGTTGCAGGGGATTTCAGATTTAGGTCTGCTTTCTGTAACCCTTTTTGTATAATGCAGATTATCACACGACTGGGGCAGTCAGAGGGCCAATAACTAAAATCAACTAATCAAAATGCTCCACTGCCGGTAAATATTCTCTCAGTATTGGACCGGGCACTGTCCCGAAGGGTCCCGAGTGATACCGCACTTGTGTCCCTTTGAACTTCAGTCGTATAATAAATCTCTTATTAACCAAGCTTGCTCGGGATCGTACTGGAAGAATATCGGCCCTCGGTCTTTTTTGTACGGACCTCACTACGCTCGATCGGTTCGTACTGTGAAGACCTCAGGCCGATATTCTCCCAGTACGGCCTTGGTTAATAAGATATATGTAATGCTTTTGTAGTATCAATTACACTAAATAAGTTCACATGAACATAAGTAACATTACTAGGGTAGCAAAAAGGAATCACGCAAGGTGAGATCTCCCGCTCGATGCGGGGGGAACCAAATAAGTTCAGTGCTACTCACCATGCGAGGAGCTCGCTTCGAAAGAGTTTCCTCGATCTCTGTTTTCCGAGGTGTTTTGCAAATGGTTGGAAAGGAACCTTTCTTTAGCCTTCTAACGGCGCCATCCACATGGACTGACCTTTCAAAGGAATCTAGCGAAAAGTGGTCAGAACAAACAGCGAAGCGACCATCTGGATTGTAAAGTGCATGATGTGTGCCAACGAAAGCTTTCCATTTCGCGCGAAAAGTCTTGTCGATCGGCGACTTATGGATGGAAATTCCGGCCGATATATTGGAAACATTACTGCATCCTTGCACAACACAACGTCGCGAAGGCATGCCTTTACAAGAAATACGCAAAAGAAAGCTGGGGAACAACTCTTTCGAATTTTATTCCTTCTTTCCTGCGGAACCAGAAAAACAACTCTCTCTCGGCATACCAAATTAGCCACGTTTGTTGAGTCGTTGACGTCACCTCCGTTCTCGACCCAGGTTCTTCTTCTTCGCGCGGAGTTCTGTAGTTCGAAGAATGGCGGCCGTTTAGATCGCGAATCTACAGGGAAAATAATATTACTTCTCGATGGAGTTTTACCTTAAGATTT